AGGTGCTTGTGTTATTTAATTTATCTTATTATATTATAAAATGGCCAGTAGGCGCCCCGGATCACCTGGTAATCAAGGCTACTGGTACTAATCAATGATTTATTAATATATAAAGTATCTAGTAGGCGTCTAGAGTTACCTAGTGACGGGCGCTTTTGTTATGAATTGATGATTTATTTATTTATAAAGTGTTCGGTGAGCGTCTTGAGTTACTTTGTAATAGGTGCTTGTGTTATTTAATTTATCTTATTATATTATAAAATGGCCAGTAGGCGCCCCGGATCACCTGGTAATCAAGGCTACTGGTACTAATCAATGATTTATTAATATATAAAGTATCTAGTAGGCGTCTAGAGTTACCTAGTGACGGGCGCTTTTGTTATGAATTGATGATTTATTTATTTATAAAGTGTTCGGTGAGCGTCTTGAGTTACTTTGTAATAGGTGCTTGTGTTATTTAATTTATCTTATTATATTATAAAATGGCCAGTAGGCGCCCCGGATCACCTGGTAATCAAGGCTACTGGTACTAATCAATGATTTATTAATATATAAAGTATCTAGTAGGCGTCTAGAGTTACCTAGTGACGGGCGCTTTTGTTATGAATTGATGATTTATTTATTTATAAAGTGTTCGGTGAGCGTCTTGAGTTACTTTGTAATAGGTGCTTGTGTTATTTAATTTATCTTATTATATTATAAAATGGCCAGTAGGCGCCCCGGATCACCTGGTAATCAAGGCTACTGGTACTAATCAATGATTTATTAATATATAAAGTATCTAGTAGGCGTCTAGAGTTACCTAGTGACGGGCGCTTTTGTTATGAATTGATGATTTATTTATTTATAAAGTGTTCGGTGAGCGTCTTGAGTTACTTTGTAATAGGTGCTTGTGTTATTTAATTTATCTTATTATATTATAAAATGGCCAGTAGGCGCCCCGGATCACCTGGTAATCAAGGCTACTGGTACTAATCAATGATTTATTAATATATAAAGTATCTAGTAGGCGTCTAGAGTTACCTAGTGACGGGCGCTTTTGTTATGAATTGATGATTTATTTATTTATAAAGTGTTCGGTGAGCGTCTTGAGTTACTTTGTAATAGGTGCTTGTGTTATTTAATTTATCTTATTATATTATAAAATGGCCAGTAGGCGCCCCGGATCACCTGGTAATCAAGGCTACTGGTACTAATCAATGATTTATTAATATATAAAGTATCTAGTAGGCGTCTAGAGTTACCTAGTGACGGGCGCTTTTGTTATGAATTGATGATTTATTTATTTATAAAGTGTTCGGTGAGCGTCTTGAGTTACTTTGTAATAGGTGCTTGTGTTATTTAATTTATCTTATTATATTATAAAATGGCCAGTAGGCGCCCCGGATCACCTGGTAATCAAGGCTACTGGTACTAATCAATGATTTATTAATATATAAAGTATCTAGTAGGCGTCTAGAGTTACCTAGTGACGGGCGCTTTTGTTATGAATTGATGATTTATTTATTTATAAAGTGTTCGGTGAGCGTCTTGAGTTACTTTGTAATAGGTGCTTGTGTTATTTAATTTATCTTATTATATTATAAAATGGCCAGTAGGCGCCCCGGATCACCTGGTAATCAAGGCTACTGGTACTAATCAATGATTTATTAATATATAAAGTATCTAGTAGGCGTCTAGAGTTACCTAGTGACGGGCGCTTTTGTTATGAATTGATGATTTATTTATTTATAAAGTGTTCGGTGAGCGTCTTGAGTTACTTTGTAATAGGTGCTTGTGTTATTTAATTTATCTTATTATATTATAAAATGGCCAGTAGGCGCCCCGGATCACCTGGTAATCAAGGCTACTGGTACTAATCAATGATTTATTAATATATAAAGTATCTAGTAGGCGTCTAGAGTTACCTAGTGACGGGCGCTTTTGTTATGAATTGATGATTTATTTATTTATAAAGTGTTCGGTGAGCGTCTTGAGTTACTTTGTAATAGGTGCTTGTGTTATTTAATTTATCTTATTATATTATAAAATGGCCAGTAGGCGCCCCGGATCACCTGGTAATCAAGGCTACTGGTACTAATCAATGATTTATTAATATATAAAGTATCTAGTAGGCGTCTAGAGTTACCTAGTGACGGGCGCTTTTGTTATGAATTGATGATTTATTTATTTATAAAGTGTTCGGTGAGCGTCTTGAGTTACTTTGTAATAGGTGCTTGTGTTATTTAATTTATCTTATTATATTATAAAATGGCCAGTAGGCGCCCCGGATCACCTGGTAATCAAGGCTACTGGTACTAATCAATGATTTATTAATATATAAAGTATCTAGTAGGCGTCTAGAGTTACCTAGTGACGGGCGCTTTTGTTATGAATTGATGATTTATTTATTTATAAAGTGTCCAGTAGTTGCCTAGATTTACTTGGTTATTATGTGACTTAAGATAGGCTTCATTTGATCACGGCGAATAGTGGTATAGCTTTTGTTTGACTGCGATGAGCAAAGCTAGTCTTCCTTTGATTGTGGTGAGCTCTCAGTTAAAAATTTGTAGCTATAATTATACCTATAAATTATAGCTATAATTATAGCTATAACTACCTATAAAACACCTATAATAATGTATAAAATTCAGCTATAAATATAGCTATAAACTACAGCTGTAAATTTTTCACAAATTTTGAATAAAAATTAGTTTAAAATCGGATTTTTTCAACATATATCGATCAGTAAAAACGGTATCATCCGTGTGATAACAGTAAAACTGAGGGCCTAAAGTATTTTTAAACAATTTTGAAAAAACTTGAAATTGTATANTTTTTTTTTTTTTATTCCTGAAATATAACTTGAATCCCCTTGTTTTGGAGTTATCATCCTGATGGTAACACTAATAATTCACAGTAAATGACGCATTACAGTATTCTGCAGTTATTTCTAGATGACAAAATTTTTTTCCTTCTTCCAATTAGTAATTCTATGTGTTTTTTCAAATGGAATTACATATGGCATCACCAAGCTAAAACCCTTTATGTAATGCCATACGTAAAACCACATGTAATGCCACATGGCTTTCCTGAAGGTATTACAGAAGTAATTACACATGGAATTCCGTCTTTCTTTTTTAGGTGGGTGTACATGGAAATAAAGCTATACTGTACCATAAAGCAGTGTAATAAACTGCCAAAAACTGTAAGCTGTTATAAGATATTACACTTGACAACATTTCCTTACGTTTTAATCTTACACGATATGCTATAAGAGTTCGTGTAGGATATCTTGTAACATATCATGTAGGATATCTTGTAAGGTATCGTGTAGGATATCTTGCATGATATCGCGCTGAAATTTTGTTTCGGGGTCAATCAGGAATATACGATATTTTGGGATATGCTTAATGAAAACGTAACAGCAGATGACAAAGTTTTTCTTGGCAGTACATTAAACTATCTTGCTTTATTATCTGCGTACAAAAATTATTATCGCAGGAAAAAGAAAACGCTGTCAAATGGATAAAAAAAATTAAAATTAATAATGCAAATAACTGCCGTATCAGTAAAATTACTCTAACAGTTTTTCTAAAGCTTAATGAGCCTGATGAGGACAAATTTTGTGAAGCTGTTTTGTACATTCGAAGGAGATGTTTACTGCAGCATGAGCCTGTTGTTGTAATTAATGAGAAATAAAAAATTATATTTTTTTAGAACAATTGAGTATGTTAATTTTTGTAACAATGATTGCGTGTAAATTTAATATAATTCCCGCACCTTATATTTAAACAATTTTATAACATATATATACACTTATCAACAATCATGGGTTGTGCACGCATAAGGTCACGTAAGTATGCAATAGTAAAAACTATTGAGTAGGTATTAACTGAATTGAAATGCGCAGGCAAGGTTATTGCGTGCGCAAGGATCAGATTATATACAAATCATGGAAATGGACTAGACTCCGTTGTCCTTTTGCGTACGCAAAGACTGAAAACTTCGCGTATGCAATGTATCGCGTATTCTAGCTGAAACAACACGGTAAGTACTGATGGTTGCTTGCGCACGCGTGAACTCGCCGTATAGGCAACAGTAAAAACAAATCGCAGTAAAAATGGTATTAAAGTTATGCAGGCAATGCAATTGCGTGTGCCATAATCAGCTCTTGTATTATACAAGATTATGAACTGGACTCTTCTTTGTCCTTTTGCTTTTTTGCCCAAGTACTGCTAATTCTGCGTACGCAACGTAACGCGTACACAAGCTAAAAATTACTCGCCGATAGCGTACGCATCATTTAAAGTATGCACGTAAAAAAAAAAATGGTTTTTAGAACTGCGCACGCAAGTTTTATCATAGCTGCTCATCTCATCCCTCTATTCGCTTTTAGCGCAATTCCAAAATCGTGCCCCCACTGAAGACTTTGAGAATGATTCATCGTCATCCTTATTATGAAATCGAGCTTCCGGCTCCATTCACTAGGTGGCCAACCCTTAAATATCGCTTTTCTACAAGCATGTGAAAATCAATTCGTAGTACTATCCTTTTCTAATCACGACCAATCGTTCTCAAAGTGCCCAGTGGGGGCGCGATTTCGGAATTACGCTTAAAGCGAATACTGTAACTGTACACTGCGCAAAACGTTCATACATTCAGAAGAGTACATCCATTGCTACCTCTTGACCACATAAGACAACACCACACCATTTTCATCATACGCCCCTTGTCTTTGTTTTTCTACTTCAGAGACTGCTCGTTCTTATTTACGGCGCTGAAGCACAAGTAAAAGAAGACACAATTTTAGAACGGTATTTATCTCTTTCGCATTTTCCCACCTTTGGCAATGTGCGAGAGAGACAGATATCCACGTTCGATGTTGTGTCTCCTTCCACTTGTGCTTTCGCGCCGTACATAAGAACGAGCAGTCTATTTTCCTTATTTGTCTATGGGTTGGAATAACCTAAGGGCGTGTCCTGCAGCTTTCTGTGCTCTCCGTGTAAAGCCCCTTAATACTTATGTTGGGCATTAGTGCTTGAAGCTTAGTCTCATTCTGCGGCAGGTTCTCGTGGGTATTAATAACTGGAAGTTGTGGATCAGTGAACTGTCCTAGTTGTGCTGTTCTGTCCGCTTACTCGGCCATGATGTTGAGTTCTGTGTCCAAGGCAGCCACTGGTGTCCTCCGGGTTTTTAAACCCACATCCGCCCTCGTCCAGCTGGAGACTACCAAAATTCTTGGAGCCTTCACCGCCAACCGTGAGTATGAATGAAACGTCTTCCATTCTTGTTGCTCTGTATGAAAACAAGACCCTTGTTGTTGAGCGTAACTAACGAACTCATGAGTGATAACAGTAGGCCTCAGATAATAGTAAAACTAATCAGCTGCCTGCTTGGTGCTTTCGGTGCCACCTAATCATTTTTTGCTCGATCGACTTATCTATCCGCACTTTAGCATGTTACGTAATCCTAAGCATCCCGAACTGGTAGTGTGCGCCGTCGCAAACGAGCCGAGACACGACTGCTCATCCTCTAGCCATCCAGCCGGGGAATAAATTTAAATTATTTCTCCACTAAGAGCGTGTCTTTAGCAAAAATCGCTTTGTTCCGGTCTGTCTGGGACGTCTGTTAAAGTCCTTAGTCTGTGGTTACATCATGTACATTGTTTTAAACTTTCAAATACTACGGTAACAAGTATTACGTAACTACTTACCCTACCGTCTTAGAGTTACCCAAGGGCATGTGACTGATTCACTTAAATCGCGACAAAACTGACTAGAGGGTACCTCTAGATTTAAGATCATGTTTTGATTTTTGCAGGTTGCAATTATGCTTCAGCCAAGCCGGCAGCTGTCGCGAAAGGTGCCCAGGGAAAAGTCGTTGCTGTTATTGGAGCCGTCGTTGATGTCCAATTTGATGACGAGCTGCCACCGATTCTAAATGCTCTCGAAGTACAAGATCGTTCTCCTAGGCTGGTTCTAGAGGTTGCCCAGCATTTGGGGGAAAATACAGTACGAACTATAGCAATGGATGGTAAGTCTTGCATGTTTTGAAGTAAATATCCATATACTCCCTGTATCAATGTGATCCAGATTTCATTTCATACTTTGTAACAATCCAAACTTTAGAAAAGTTTTGCCAGGTTTATGTGGCTGCACTTTGTAATAGAAAACTCCCAATACGTCTATACTTCAGTGTTGAGAATTTATGATTTAGTAGGAGTATTACTAGTTGTTTCTCATAATTAATTTATTATTGAAAAGTTGATACATAATAAACGTTATTAACTAATCTTTGAATTTAAAATATTTTGACAGCAGTATTACGAATACGATTATAGTGGCTAACTTTTAATTATTAACATGGCAGGTGTGAAAAATTTACTATTTGACTTTTTTTTTGTTTTGAAGGGAACTAGATTTTATTAAAAATTTGTTTTAATGTAAGCAAATTTAACAGCTATTCCACACTTTTTGTAAGTCGTTGTTGATGAAGGTTAATAATTATGCATACCTTAGCACCTTGAAGGAAGAAAAGTTTATCTCACGTTTGGAGGAAAGATAGCTTAGATCGCGAGATCGGACGAAGACAAGCTTAGCCTACCGCGTTCGGAGAAAGACTAGCTATGCTCAATGCAGTCAAACAAAAGCTGCAGCACTACTTGCCGTGATCATATGGAGACTACCTTAACCCACATAATCTCAGGTAACTCTGGGCGTCTACTGGACAATTTATAAATAAATAAACCATCGAGTAATAACAAAAACGCCTATTACCAGGTGACCCAAAGCGCTTACTGGCCATGTGATAAATTAATAAACCATTGATTTATAAGAAAAGCACCTAAAACCTGCTGACACGGGGCAAGCTAATTCACTGTTTCTGCTAGAAACAGTTGGATTGTTAATGCCAATGCTTGATTGCTATTATGCACATTGTATCAACAAACAATCTCCAAAAACTATTCAGTTGCTGATCGCTTGCTAGACTAAAAAAACAATTTTATAAATTTATAATACTAAAAAAAAGAAGGCTTTTAAACATGAGTGTTTCCTTGCGTAACAGCACATTTTATAAATAAACAATACTACAAATCAATAGGTTATTAATAGCCTACCATCCCTCGCCCAAAGATTTGTACTATAAAGTTTTATAAATGGCCTGTGAGTGCCTAGAGCTACCTTGTGGTAGAATCTTTTGTCATTAATCAATGATTGATTACATTATAAAGTAGCTAGTAAGTTTATCTTAAGTTACCTGGTGATAGGCGCTTGTGCTGTTCAATGTATTTTATTATATCTTAAAATAGCCAGTAAGCGCCCCGGGTCACCTGATAATAGGCGCTTTTGTTAATAATCAATGGATCATCAATTTATACAGTGGCCAGTAAGCGCCCCGGCTCAGCTTGTGATAACCGCTTTAATTTTTAATCTATGGTTTATTTATTTATGAAGTGGCCAGTAAGCCACCGGAGTTACACGGAAAGACCTTTTTCATTGAAAATCCCCTACTACATTCAGTTACGAGTTTTTAATAGCTTGGTAAGGTTTTTTCTCGTACCAGGTCCGTCTAAAACCTACGCTCGAAAATGTTGGACATGTGAAGTCTTCTTCTACTGGCAAATAAGATTATATTAATGCTAGGTACGGTATTTTCTTTCTATTGTCTCACTAAAAATCCTCTACCACATGAAGTTATGTGTTTGTCATAGCTTGGTAGGGATTTTTCCCGTACCAGGTCTACTTAAAACCTACACTCAAATACGTTAGTATTAGGTTATGTTATTTTACTGTTAGGTATACTGTATATTTACTCTCCAAGTATATATATATCAGTGTCAGATTTTAAGAGGCTTACTATACACACACACGTATGCGCTCGCGCGCGCGTGTGTGTGTGTGTGTGTGTGCGCACGCGCACATGTATGTATGCATTTAAAAATATATAATAAGTACTGCTCTGCGCACTATAGTACGTCGTATACACTGACTGGGTGCATCTACTTTTCACGGCTACTGATGGTAAGGGAAAAAACCGTACCACCACCAATAAATAGTCGTACTGATGTCCTAAAATCAGTATACTCAGTAGATAATTTAAGATCACTAAAGGTGAGACTAAAAATTTCTGTGTAAGTAAGCAATAAATATAACGTTGGTCTAGTACTTCTTGTGATCAAATATTGAAGTAGGGGATTTTAAATGAAAAAGGTCTTTCCGTGTAG